TCTCGTATATTAAATTTGGTGAAATTCAAGCCAATAAAATAATGAGATAAAAAAGGTAAATTAAATTTTTGTAGATTTTCTCTGTTTCATACTTTTAATTAATAAGAAAAACATATAAGAAAAATTTAATAAACAACTTCCCTTTCGCTTTTGATTCGCTATTTGTAATTTCAAATTGCCAATTTCAATTCGCTACGTCACCTGTTCGTTATTGTCATCGAAACACGTTATGCCTTAACGTGTTTCGACGACAATACGTGATTAATTTAACAGCGTTATCATTCCAGGACGTGAGTGTGTACCCAATCTGTTGCCGAATCGTGAACAAATCAACAATGTTACCTTAGCATTTCAATTACATTATTGAAACGCTGTTTACAAAAAAACACCAAAAGCATTCTCTAAATATTTCTACTACAATGTTAGAACGTGAAATAGAAAGACCATAAATTTTATCACATATTTGTTTGTAATAAAATCAATTTATTAAGAGTGAAGAATGTAGGAGATTATTTTGCAAATTGTAACTCTCTATAATTTGAACTTTTTATTTTAAAGACTTGAACTTGAAAAAATATTTTTTTCTACATACGACATTGAATATTCTGTAAAGAAAGCAAATTCTTCTTAGCATACTATAACATATCACCAATAAAATGAAAATATTTGATATATTGGGTTTGATAAAAATCATATTTTAAATTATTTAAAACATGCTCAATTGATGCTTTTAATATGTTTTTTTAATGATACTGTTTAAAGCTACTGTATGAAACATTAAAAATATATTTTAAAAATACGTGTTTTGTTTTTTAAAAGAAAAAAACATTATCTTTTCTCAATTCTGTTTTATATGAAGATAAGTCACAAGTGATTCACAAGTCATTTTATTTAAAAATCACACTAGTCTTATCTTGCCAACAACACTTTCATGAAATATACGATATATTATCGACGCCGATCATTCCAATAAATAAAATATTATGTCAACTGAGTGTGCAAATGGCACGGATTTGCCAGTTTTCTTGTCCTGTGTTTCGAGAAACGTTACGATGCTTGGCAAAAGAGCAAAAATTGCTCCTGTCGTCGCAAAAAGGCACTGAAAATACTCGGAAACGAAAGCGACGGCTTGCCATTTCGCGATGCTTCTCCGAGTGTCACAAGGACGATTCGACTGCTCGCCTCGAATATTTTCAAATCGAGGGTGGCTACCGAGAGAGATAGATTCCGATGGATATTCCGAAATTGTTCGCACTCAACGGGATGTCCTTGAGGACCATCGATGTGTAGAGTACTTTCTCACGCTGATACACAGCACTCCTGTGGCCCTTAACCCTATTGCTGCGTTTTTCCAAAACTCTAAAACTGTCACGTTGACGCGGAAAGACGCTGAAAAGGCTTTTATGCATCTTTTCTGCACGATACTATTTCACTGTTTATGTCCGAGAAATCGTTCCAAGGCAAGGTCACGTTATGAAAGGTAAATTGCCTGGCTGTGTGTATAATGCATATTACTCTGATCACATCCGTTAAAAAAAAAATGTAGCACTGTGTTCAAAAAATGACAAATATACTACGTATTAAATATTGTGTTCAAAATATTATATCATACATTAGTATCTTTACATTAGTATCATACGAAAAATATAAATAACATAAAAAATAATTTTACGCCAT